CGCCAGTCGGTTCGTGGTAGCCTCCTACAATGGAAAGGCGCAAGTGGGACCGATCCCCCCGGATGGGAACCGCTTGGTGCATTACCCAGTTTCTCTCTCACTTTTTTTTTTTTTTTTTTTAAGAAAGGCCCTTGCGATATTTCTCTATCCAAGTGGTGGTAAGAGAACCGTCAGAATTGAGGGCTTATCTGTCGGGCTGCTCCATCTATTGGTGGGGAGCGGCACCTGCTGGAAACCGGGTCCAGCGTTCCATTGATACATCATGCAGCACTGAGATTGATGTTTGTTGTTTCCTGGGACTGTGGTTATTATTAAGTCATCCTGAGGCTCCGTCATCCCATGGAGCTGCTAATATCACCCTTCCCATTTTAGGAGCACCCCATTATCTATTAACCCAACCCTATTTCAGCGGCCCCCCTATTTGATCATTGCTAAAGTGCAGTTGGCTCTTGATGCACTGAGCATATGTGCCAGATGTATCCTACACTGTAGGTATGGCTGATTGTAAAAAACAGAAATGCAGTTGCGATGGCAGTCAGCCAAAGGGTTCATCTGCGAAAGTGAAATTCGGCAGGCCGCACTATTCAGTAGCATGAGTTTCTTGTCTACATGACAACCTACGTCAAGCCTGCCGCTGATCTGTGATTACTTTACCCTAGGGCTGCTGAGTTACCCTACCAATCTTGTAGCTCCTGTTTTCCAGTACCGTAGCCCAACCTTAGTGCAGCCCGTCCCTGAGCATTGGCATGTTACATGGCCATTCCCTGACTATGTCTGCCGCAGTGAATAGCAGATGTCTTTTCTGACTCCTATTCTGACTTGCAGTTTGTATTGGTAGCCGGGTCTACATTAATTAGTCTGGTCTTTCTTCTCTGTCGAAGATACCGGGTCTGTGGTCTGTTTCCACTGTTGTTGTAGGGCACATCCGCCTTCATTGCTCCATCTGATCCCTATACCTCTGTTGTTGCTCCCTTGGTGTGCTCGCCTGGCCAGGACTTATGTATTGGCAGCTGTTTGGGGGTTGGAAATGGGACAGGGAAGGAGAAGGGGGTCGAGGTGTCAGGGGCAGGGGCTCCACGGGTAGGGGAGGGGTGGTTGGGGAGGTGAGGGCAGACGAAGGCGGGGCTTGCGACTGTGTGTGAAGTGGATGCGGGGGAGGAGGTTGCGGTCGTGTTGCTTCCGACGACAGAGGGGGTGTCGAGGGGGTTGGCCGGGTGTGTGGTGACTGTGGTGGGTGAGCAGGAGTCTGTGATGGAGATTCCATAGGAAGTGGTGGGGTGGATAGGGGGGTATTGGAGTCCTGTGTTGACGTAGGCCGAGGGGATTCCACAGGAAATGGGCCAGAATGAGGGAGGGCGGCAAGGTATGTCAGGGGGGGCGGGGGGGTGAGTGGGGGTGGCATGTYAGGAAGTGAAGGGTTAGTTGGGTTTGTGCTCTTGGGTGGGGAAGGTATGAAGGATGGTTCCCCTGGTGATTGTCGAGCGAACGAAGGTGGCGACTTCCATTGCCATCTTTGTTCGTCCTTCCACCAGGGTCTCCATATCAGATTCTCATTCCCATCCAACGATCCAATCTTTTGTGTCGGGTCCAACCACATTTGTTTGAAGTTTGTGGTGTATTCTTCAATTTTCATTCGATCTGTGGTGGATGATAGTTTTTCTTCAAAGCTCTTCCATGCTTTCTGAATGCTGATTCTTACTGTTTCTGTTATTTGGTGTTTAGCTTGGAGGTAGCCGAAGGTGTGTTCTCTCCTCTCGTGAGAACAGTGAGCCCTCCATATGGTTATCGACACTTCCAGCCTTGTGATTCTAAACAGGTTTAGCTGAAAATAGACCATGTAGCCTTCACGTGAGATGATTGATCTAGCAGCGGCACCTTCAGGTCCCACGGCAGATTAGTCTGTGTGAGATGTTTCCCTGCCGCAGCCCACCACCTCCATATCTGCTTTGCCAATGGGCATTCCAATAACAAGTGCTCCAGGTTTGCAATGTGCTTTTGGAATGATTTTCCACAATATGTACACATAGGTGAGAGGATACCTCTTTGTTCAAGAGTGGATCTGGTCACCAGCCAGTCCGGTGTTGGCAGGCATCGATATATAATCTGCCATTGCAGAGCCCGGTGGGAGATGGGAGTTATATGAGAGAATCAGATTCTGCTCGATTGAAATTCTTTAAGCTTGTTCGAGGATAGAGTCTCTCCACCACCTGTTTCTTATTATGTTTACTGTGTTGACTGTTTTGTGTATTCTTTTATATCCGTCTTTGACAATATACTTCCAGATTCGAAGCGGTTTGGTTTCACCCCATCGCCACTCCATAGAACTGCGATGTCGTCAAAACGTTCATTTTTTATTTTTTGCGCGAAATTGAAAGTCCATTTTATTTCGATTTTTGTATGTAATTTATGAAGTCTTTTATGGGTATAGTGTCAGCGGTCAGGGGTAAAGGGGTAAGGGGTAAGGGATAAGGGGTAATATGGGTAAGGGGTAAGGGGTAAGGGGTACGAGATCATCTAAAGTAACACTGTAATGGTGTTCAATCGGGCATGTCGCGTTGTTGCTTTGTTAAATACATTCGAACATGTTCATGGGTGTCTATCCAGCAGAGCCAATGAACTCTTTACATTTGCAAAAAAATGAACAAATGTTTTGCTTTGATAATGTCGTCTATCAAATGTCCTTTGTTGCACAACTAACTCCTACGTCGGTGTGACAAGTACATCTAAAGCGATCCGTCACCTTATATTGTGGATGTCGTCGAAAGAGAAGTTGAATGGCGGAAGAAATCCTCTTGCCAACAGTGACGCATATGTTAGCATAAATACACCGCATTCGTTAATGCCGCGCTGTCTAGGAATGCCTGACACATTTCATATGTGGTTGAAATCTTTTGTATCCACCACCTTACCCTGTTCAACCGATCTTTCGAACAAGAATCTTGCGAAACCACATGTCACTTTCCTTGCCAATTCTTTGTCAAGGGTAAGCGAGTCGTAGTACTCCATTTTCTGGCGCCTTAAGTCTGATATTACTAGTGTGCAATGGTTGGACATCTGAACATGGAATGGAGCTATTATTAAGTCCACGTCACCTGCATCGATATCTGTCATCCACTTTTGCACTGCGCTATATTGGTATTGCATGTCGTCGTCGAACAATTTCGCGAAGAAGAAGGAACTAAAAATTGATGTTATCGGGATGCGCTCTTTTCCTTCTACTACGGTTTCGTCTTGTTCACTATCACACTCGCGATGGCTTATGCGACACATGTTGTCAAGCCTACCGAGGTTCAAATAAAAGTTAACTATGTCGGTGTTCAACCAATTGCCTTGAAACAGTATCAACCTCAAATCATTCCCGGCTAGTGTTAGTTCTTCTTTTGTTGCCCCGTTGTACGTGGATGTCCAGACCGTTCGATTCTCCGCTTGCACTGAATCTCGTAAATGTTGCACCGCGACCGTCTCCTTCTCCGATAACTTATCCGTTGCTAAGCGGATCGTCCATCCTTGTTTGCATCTTCGTACTTCTTCTATGTTCCTCCTTTCTGCACATGACAATGCATTATGCGCCAGCGTAAGCTATCGTTATTGGGGCCTGCCATATTTGCATGTTAGAAACGGCGGAGAAAATTTCAATTGCTAAATCCTGGCAACATGATACTATAGCGAGTTGACATGAATACCCCGGCCTCCGTCTTCCTTGTAATATGCCGCATAACACAACTACAAATTTTTCCAATTTTCGTGTATTTTTTTAAAGCAAATCGATCAATGATACTTATCGAGATCTATGGTGGTTAACGGTAACCCTGCTTCCATCTGTTCTCTGATGTTCATGTTCACTACTCTTGGCAATATTTTGATTATAAGTTCACTACTCCAGCCTTGTTGTTTCACATATTTTCACGTTCTTTTTTTTTTTCTATTTCATTATTATGATTTTTTTTTTTCAAGTTCGTGGGGATTTAGGTTAAGACGACCATTCGCAGCGCGCTAGAAGATGGCATAACAAGTTCTCTGAAATTAGAGGTGTCCTTGACACATGGAATCAAAGTGCCCCATATAGTGTGTTTTCATATGCCTTTATTATAAAACTGTACCAAACACGCGCACACAATTTAATCCACACACAGAACCCAACGCTGCTGACGAGTCCACCTCTGCCTATTCACACACACACACACACATACACACACAGACACACACACACACACACACACACACACACACACACACACACACACACCCCTACGTATCGAGATGGGGCACCCTCTATTATCGACAGTGCCATTTCAAGAATTGCCTTGTCACAATAACACTTCCATTAAGACAACAATATAACCCAAAACGCGTTTACACCCATTCCTGTCTAACATAGTTTTCTAACATAGTACCCAGCGACAACCTATCAATTTAACAAGAAATGCGTAGACACCCCATGTGAGGACCGGGTGAATATCGCATCATGATTTGTGGTGCCACATCAATATAACCTGAAACGTGTAAACGCCCATGCCCGTCTAAGGCTTTCCTACGCATCAAACACTGTTTTCTTAATTATTGCTCTCGTTGACCGTCTTGGTCGTTGCGCGTCCTCTTCATCATTACCTTCCACTCGTGGTGCAGCGTGGTCATCTTTCTGGTCGTTATCTTGGATCATATCCTCGCCCGTACTCTCTGATCTCATATCTATTATGGAAATGTGTTCGCGAGATCCCTCACCTTTCTTCGTCTCCTCTATTGTTGCCGCCACCTGCTCTGGCGCCACCTTCACGGTCTGGCTTTCAACACCCTGGTCCGCATCGGTCTCCATCATTTCAGATACGCCTTGCCTCGCCGCCATTGTCACGACAAGAGACTCGAAAGATCCAACGATTGTTGCCCCATCGTTGACCCCGCGCGTTGGCGGCTCTGTCAATGTGCCCGACTCCATGTCGTCGCCGTCCTTGCGTATCATAGTGGAATCCCCCATTGCGCTTCTCTGCGTGCTTTGTTGATTACATGCTCGCAACTGTTCATTCTGTATGTGACCTGCGTTCGCACGTGTGTCCGTTTCGCAGCCTGCATCCCCTCAAGCCATCGCAACGATGGTGTTAGACGCGATGACGTCTTGAGTCTTCAGAGAGGTGATGCTATCGATTCCTTGCACTGCTGACGCTTGTTTGATTTTCCAATCGATGGAGCCGTACGACACACTTGATGCAAGGTCGTAGAACTTTGTGCTGAATTCTAGTTGTTTTTTCGCACGCAAATGCTCAAACAAAGCTTTCGCCTTTGCCGCTACAGCCACCTCGGTTGCACCGACATTTTCTTGTGCAACCCGCCGAAAAAGTTGCGTCTCCGTCACGCTGTGCCATATCGCAGCGTCCTTTCTTTCCTTCGTGACCCATCCGCGGTCTTTTGTCTTCACAACCATTTGCCACTTGCCCGTAAACACGCACGGTTCGAACACGCTCTCAAGCCAGAGAATATGATGACCCCAGTCCTTCTCCGATGACTCCTTGTACTTGTCTTGCAGCAAGTATGGCACTGAAGGGTCTTGAGCAAAGCCTTGAGGTAACGGTTTTCCTGGCATGAGCTTCGGCATGACAGCTGTCATATCCATGTCTTCATCTTCGTCTATGTCCATCGACGTGAGCGTTCGCTGCTCGGCCTGCGGTGCATGTGTCGATGATGGTCCAGTTGTCGGCGGGGTCATTTCACACTCATTTTCTCCTTCCCCTGTGTTGCCCCGTGAGTTAACAATTCCCTCACTCGCACCCACCGGGTTCGTTGGTACACCATTCTTTTCTCCCCTTGCATTCATTATATGTTCCACGTCTCCCTCACTAGCATGTGTCGCTCCCAAACCCGACCTCGCCTTCTCCGCATCTGCGTTGGTGCTCCCTTGCGGCTCCTTGGCACGTGCTCCCTGCGCCGAACGTCGTGTCGCGCGCGACGGAACGTCCAAGTCGGAGTCTGACGTGTCTTCGTCACAATCGATGTTGTTGAAGTTCCCCGCTTTACGTGCCAAGTCTGCATAGTCCCTGCATGACAGTGCTCTTTTCTTCATATTGAAATACAGATGCTCACAACGTGCGACGAACATGTGGAAATGACCCATGTACGATCCGTGGTACTCGTTCATTGCTATCTCGAGTTCACTTTTTCTGATGATGTAGTCGTTATCAACCGCCGATTGTGGAGCGTCACCGAACAAGTAAGCCCACACTTTCTCCCTCTTCCTACCGAGCTTATAGTAGATGTCCCGGTCCTTGCGGTTCTCGACTTGGGGATTTTCGAACCTGCATTTGTTCCTCGGATCCTTCACATAAAACTCCAAAAACTTGGAAAGGTATGTGAGCTCTTTCGTCGTGTCGTCACACGCAAACACGTGGTGTCTGGCGCGAGCCAGTTCCCAAATCAGTCCCGCATGCACCCTGCCCAACAGCATCACGCCATCGTCCTCCCTGATGAACGAGCTGCACAGTTTTCAGAGACGTGCTGACTTTCGTTCCATCTAAGAATAAACCGCGTCGGTGTCGCCCTCCACGCCGATACACTCCCCTGAGCACCTCACAAATTCACTCTCTTCAACGTTCAAATTTGTCAACTCGGCTCGCAATTTCGGCGCAACCGTTATATTGTCCAAATTGTCGTTCTCGGCGTGGAGGACAATAGTCATCATGTCAGTGTACCGAACTGCAATGTTGTCGTACTTGTTCAAGGTTGTCGAAGGTGTATAGTGTCTGTACCATGACCCTGTGAGCACCTCAACATCATCCCAGTTGTATACACTCTGCATCACCTGTTTCTGGTGTTTCATCGGAGCGAAAATGATCAAGGCCCAGTTTTCGCCACAGCATGTCATGAGGAAAGCGTACAGTTTGGAAAAGGCGTCATCATCCCACGGAACACATTTCAGTGATGTTGACATATCAAGAATGGTTGCCCGTATCTTCATCCCCCTCGCCGTACCAACAACCTCCTCGTTGTCCGTGAGCACTCCCTTCGGTTCGATTTCAAATGGCAGGATCGTGGTAATCCTCTTCCCCACTTCCCAAAAGATGTGACAAGCACTGGAGGATATCCGATTAACCTCCGCTCTCAGGTCGTCCAAGCAGTCGATTGCCTCGTAGATGAAACACTTGAGGTGGAACGGGGTTTCCTTGTACATGCCTTGGGTTGCCTCTAGTCCCGCACCGTTCTCACCATTAATCTCATCAGGACCGCCCAAACGCCTCGGCACCTTCCTCGCCTTATCGTCAAGGATGCGGTCGCGTTCCTCGGTCCATTTCTTGTCCGTCAGATTGTTTTTGTCGTACCTCTCCAAGATGGTCGTATAACCGATGAAAAAGTCAGCGCTCCACTCTTCTTTTGACCTCCCCTCTACCTTAAACAATATGTAGTTGAACATACAGACCATATATCTTTCACGCTGAGTATATTTAACCAGGTCCGCCATGTTGCATCTACCACGAGGTACCGAACGTGATGTCACGATGACATCACCACGCATCATGTGGTGAAGCACCACTTGCTTCTCTCTCACTGTCATATCGCCGAACAACTTGAAGATTGTCGGCGTCAAGTCAGGTATAGACACCGTTGCGCCTGATGGCCCCTTCCTGGCCTTGATGCAGTGGAACAGGACTTTTTTGCCGGAGTTGTGCTTGAGGAAGTATTGCCCAGGCAGCCTCCCTTCCACTTTCCTCGGCAGGTCGATGTATCTCACACCGTCGACTCGCGGCAATAGCCCCTTCTCGTACATGTTGAAGAATTTCTCTACTAGTAGCCATACTTTTTCGCCGCATTGCACAAGATTCATGTATCCGCGCATCTTGTTCGTCCAGTCCTTGCAGTAGTCGTTCTCTAGGGACGAGTTCATGAGACCGGAATCAGGTGTCATTTTGCAGGCGGCGTTCATGAACTCTTCCCATTTCTTTTTCCGTTTCATCCCCTCGACGTCATTCGGGGACACAGTCCCTGGCGGACGGATCCGACCATTCCTCTTATCCCAAAATGTTCTGATTTGGCGCACAGATGACGAAAACGATCTTGGGATCGAACGCTCCTCCCTCGTGTTGTCGAACGTCGAGACGTACGGATATCCTCTCTTTCTGTCATCAACATAGAATTCGTGAAAACCTAACAAAATAAATTGTTAGGTTTGCACGAAAATTTTTAAAGATTCTGATAATACTTTTTTCAGGCCTCCTACATGAACAAAATTTTATATGAAGTAAATTAACCGCAAAAAAAGAATAGAAAACTACTTTTTCAGGACCACTAGAAGTGATGAGGAGAGAAGCAAGTTTTTTTACAAAAAATCAGTACCTTGCAAAACACCGTTAATTCAGGAACTGAAATATCACAATATTTTGTTTAACTAAAAAAATCATATTTATAGTTCTGTAAGGTATGTAGCACGACGAATCTATTCGGGGGTTTCCCAAACATGCACACATGCTCTCCTATTCACGAATACATTCGCTTGGATATGTTATCTCATACATGGACGAATTTTATTTTTTAATTTTAAATCATCGTTGGCTAGAAATTTGAAGATGTCCCCCAGACAAAAGTTGATTTAAATATTCTTTTACACAACATATATTTTTTTATAAGAGTTTTACAGTTAACTTAAAAATGGAGTTATATTAATTTATAGTTAATTTTAAATCATCGTTGGCTAGGAATTTGAAGATGTGTTACAGGCAAAATTTGTTTTAATTATTCATTTACATAACATATATTTTTTGACAAGGGTTTTACAGTTAACTTAAAAATGGAGTTATATTAATTTATAGTTCTATAAACTCGATTTCGCAGAGTCTGGTTTTTACCAAACTGCTAAAAACGGTTTATAATTCTATAAATGAGTATTCACTGAAACTGTTTTTTTTAACATCTTTCGGGTTCGCCTTGTAGTCGTTAAAGGTTGTCTTGTTGGAGCTATGCTTTTTGTCAATGTACTGAGAACGACTTATAGTCCTATAACATGCTCTTTGTTGGAAAGAATTTTCTTGCACATTTTGAGAATCGCTAAACTTTTTGCCTGTTTTTTTGCCTCCTTTTTTGGGAAACAGTTAAAAACGTTCTCTTTTATGAGTCAAAAATAATAGTTTGACTTCTACTTTTTTATTCTATAAAAAATGTTAGGTTTTGTGGTTTTGTCAGGTTTTCACGAATTCGGTTTTCGCAACCGTTCACGAGCTTCCCGTGTGTGCCCTCCGCTCAACACAAAAACATCGACGAGACACTCTTTTTAAAGAAGCAACAATTATGGAGATTTATTTCAAAGTGATTCAGGTCATTTTCCAAAGATTTGTCCCTTAGGCGTTTCTAAGACCTCGGTTTCAAAGTAGCAATTTCTATTACTTTTTGGCTCGTTCTTGCGGGTTAGAAATGATGCCACCATTCGCCTTTTTCTCTCGTCTTTGTGCTTCACAGTTTATAGAACTATAAACGGAATGAAGAATTCCGAAGCTGAGATGGTTTTTTGCGTTCCAATTTATAGGACTATAAATACACAAATGTCAAGATGTCTGACTTTGGTACAAGGGCGCACGTTTTCAGAGTACTTCATGTTTTATTTTTCCTCGCATGTTTGTGAGTCACGGTTTATAGAACTATAAATGGAATGGAGAATTCTAAAGCTGACATGGTTTTTTGTTTTCCAATTTATAGGACTATAAATACGCAAATGTCAAGATGTCGGACTTCGGTACAAGGACGCACATTTTCAGAGTGCTTCTTTGTTTTCTTTTTTCTCGCATGTTTGTGCGTCACGGCTTATAGAACTATAAATGAAATGGAGAATTCCAAAGCTGACATGGTTTTTTATTTTCCAATTTATAGGACTATGAATACGCAAATGTCAAGATGTCTGACTTCGGTACAAGGACGCACATTTTCAGAGTGCTTCTTTGTTTTCTTTTTTCTCGCATGTTTGTGCGTCACGGCTTATAGAACTATAAACCGAATGGAGAATTCCGAAGCGGACATGTTTTTTTGCTTTCCAATTTATAGGACTATAAATACGCAAATGTCAAGATGTCTAACTTCGGTACAAGGGCGCATATTTTCAGAGTGCTTGTTTGTTTTCTTTTTTTTAAGTGTGTCTTTGCCGCGTGCTTTATAGAACTACAAACGGAATTCGGGATGCTTGAACTGCATCTGTTTTCTGCGTCTTTAATGAAAGGACTCCAAAGGTGCATATGCCAAGACGTCCTGCTTTCGTACAATGCAATACATTTTGGAGTGATCGTTATCCTGCCTAGGTTTTCTTAACTTTCCTCTAAGTTTGTAAGTGGTATCTTGTATTGTGGAATGAATTGTCATATTTGCGCGGTTTCAGCAGAGCAAAGAATTCATTTCTCGACTACAAGCGACTTTTGGGATCACTTGTTGACCTGCTTTTGTATGTGATAAAAATGAGGCTCCGTGGACAAGTTTTCGTCTCACTAATCACCTTCTCCTAACAGGAGTCTTGATTTTGTATGTTTTTTTTCATCACTAGGTGCGCCATACAACGTGTAAAAGTAGTACCAACGGAGTGAAAATGAGTGGAAAATTTTTGGTTTTCTCCGGTCTATAAAGATTGTTTGGTTTTCTACGTTTGTTTGGTTTTCATGAATACTCTGTTCATCGTCAAAGTAGACAACACGTACGTGAGAGTATGACCTCAAGCCATACACTTTCTCGGCCGGTGACTTATCTTTAATGAGTCTGTTTATTGCCTCAGCCGTGTGCTGGCTAGCGACAGCATACCAGTTATATGTATGAGCCAGTTCGATGTCGAATTGCTCCGGTGTGATCCGTCTGCCTTGAGACCCGTCCCTGTTGGGCACAATGGGAGCCAGGATGAAAGTCATGAAATCCCACTTCCCGTTTGTTTCCTTGGCCGCATAATGGATCGCATCATATATGGACTGCACCAACGTTTCGTCCAACGTTCTATGGTTGAAGAGGATGTCACCTTCAGGGATTGGCAAGATCTTTGTGACGTCCACTTCAATGTGTTCCCTTTTCTTCTTTGCAAACCCATCTTCATCGAACTCCAAGAAGAAGCATCGTGTTGTGTCGATGGCTTCATCACGGGTGTCGGCGGAAGGTTGTGTCTGTTCCGACACATCTCTTGGAGGAACCCCTTCGGCATCCTCTCCAGAGTCACCCTCATCCACCATCTGCTTTCTTTTCGGTGGACGTTTCTCCGCTTTTATCGCCCTTGTCGACGCGGACCCTTTTCGTTTCTTCACGCTTTCAGCGACCGCCTCTTAAGAAGCTTTGAGCGCCTGTCGAGATGCAGCGACAGTGAGTTTCTTCGCAATGCGCTTATCCGCCGCCGCGGTTGGACTTGTTGAAGATTGTCGCTTCCTTTTCTGGACACTGGCCTCCGACCGCTCTCCTGTTGCGTCGTCGACCCCCACATCAACCGACCGCTCTTGCCGTCCATCGTCATCACCTACAGGATAGGCATGATCGTTTTCTCGATCGCCCCCGTCGTCCTCCTCATAGTATTGTTGAGACTCCCCACCCTCGCAGTTGTGCATAGTTTCCTCACGATCCTCTCTCTCTCTCTCCCTCTCGCTGTTCTCCTCTTCGATGTCGTCCTCTTCGACACCACATTCGTCATCGTCGACGGCATGATTACCCTGTGGATGTCGATCAACACATACCCTAGAATTGTCCTCCGTTTCCTCGTCCGATCCTTCGCTTATCTCCCGCATCGCCGCCTTCCTGGACGCACCACCTTCGTCCTTCTGGCAACTGGGAGAGGGACGAGTTGCCAGGGGCTTCCTTTGGTATGTGATGACAGGGGTGCCTTGGTCTTGCCGGCTGGACGGTTGAGACGGTCCAGCACACTCCTTCCGGCGGGACGAACGCACAGGAGGAACATGCTCATCCTCGCCTGGTGGACGACGCGGCTGGCTCTGTTTGTTGCGGCGCCGGCTCCAAGTCGCTGACGTCTGCTGCGTTGGAAAACTATGTGGCATCCTCTCTCTCTTTGTCATTGCTATACCGGGAAGATCCTCGTCCGGTGTATCAAAAGGCACGAATGTCGGGGATATACGATTCCCGGCCTCAACCGTGGGACTGTTTCCGGATCTCCTGTAGCCGTTCGTTTTGGCGAGGAATTTAACGGGGCCGAGCATCGTCAACACACTCCCGTCTTCTTTCGGGGACACATCGAAGGCTTTCATGGTAATAGCCTTACCGCCATACCCCTTGAACAGATTGTAATCAAGGCTGACTTTACGGTCGGCCTTCACATGGTCCACTTCTTGTTCGTCGAACACCGTTGTGAGGAAAAACCTCCTGAACTTCTGTCCGCGCCCTTCCACCCTCTCATCCTCGGATTTAATAATCCCTCCAACACAGAACCAGTCGTCACCCGAGGCGTTCCTTAGAAACACAGCGGCCCCACATCCCGCCTCGCGTAGCCCCCCCACCCAATCAAGGGCCCACTCCCTATCTCTATAGATTGTGCACGTGTTGTAGACTCTCTCTTCCTGATGGCAGACACATTCCAAACGAAGGAACCGATCGCATTCAGATTTCAAACCTTCCACCATCGCCTCACGTTAGTCGCCGACGCATTCGAGCCTCTCCTGGTATAGGGCGTTCTGAAAACGCCCTACCCCATCCGGTTCTGCGAAGCAAGGCCTAGGGGGCATGGCGTTTCGAAGCGCCGCACCCGTCAGCCCTGTCCACCTACGGGGCCGGGCAACGGCGTTCTGGGAACGCCATGCGCCCTACCTCCTTATCCTCTCTGAGAACTGGAGGGCGCACGGCGTTTCGAGAACGTCGTACCTCCGCTCCCACCCCCACCGAGAACCGGAGGGGGTACGGCGTTTTCGAAACGCCGTACCCCCTCGACCCTGTTCACAAACAGGGCCGAGGGAGTACGACGTTTTCAAAATGCCGCACCCCCTTCGGTTCCCTGGAGGCGAAAG